TTTACTATGTTTGCTTTAAACAAACCAATTGAAAACAGCAATAAAACCTGTTTCCATAGTAACAAGATGTTGATATGTAACAATGGAATATTAACTGGTTGTTATAAACAGACTTTTGGGAACCGTTTCTTGACTAGTAGAAATTTAAACTTTGTATACATATAATATCGAACTTTTACTGTATTTTGAATGAAATTTGTGTGGGAAATGGTTGTGAAGTGGGGGGAGGAGGATAAAATGTATCTAAAAAGAAAAAAAAATTGAGCGAGAAAGAAAAATAGGAAAAATTAAAGATGGTAAAAACTGGTTTAGGTTTTTTATTTTAAAAATTAATAGGAGAATTAGGAATGGAAAGGAGTATGAGAAAGAGAAAATTAAGAATGTTAAAAAAGAAAATGTGACATACACATTTTAACTACAGTAGAAGTAATATAAAACAAATTGAATGTAGAATGGTAGAAGATATGAGAGGGAAAAACAAAATTGTGAAATTTTCTATAAAAAAAGTTATGATGGTTTGGATTTCATAACTAAAACGTACACAAATTATATTATGATTCTATTATTATTATTATATTATTAAATTATAAATTATTTTTACTATTGATTATATTTTTATATTACTTTGTTAATAATTACTAATTAAACTTACTGTACACCATTATTATTGATTGCATATACAAATTATTTTTATTATGTTCTTCATATTATTTTATGAGTAAGTATTTTTAAAGTAAGTTAAAAAAAAAGTCTGTAACAGTTTCTGTTATTTTGCTCCCCAACTGTGCATTGTAGCATTGTTATAATTCTTGAACTTGTCCCCTCTCATGTAGAACGTGTAGCCGAGCACGACAGCGTTAACACATATTTGAATAATTTACCATCAGTTTAGGTTCACAAGTACAAAATAAAACATCAAAAACCAGGTACAGTAAAATCCCATTCTCAAAGGAACAATGAACCCACAAAATGTTGGGAAAAAAAATAAATGTAAGGATCACCACTTACAGTAGGTGACTTAAACTGCACTTGAAGAATTGTAGTAAACTTCATTCACATATCTTCATCCAAGATGGTTTACTATAGTAATATATAGTTTTGGGTGTTTTTTTTTTTTGATTGTTTGTGTTTTTTTTTATTGTTTATATTTATTTCTCCATTTTTTCGTTGTCTTCCTACCTTCATCCAAGTGCATAGAGACCTTGTTTATTTGCACTATATAATCCATTTATTATTATTAGTATATTTCCAGTCATAGTAACTATAGTACATTGTTTATTGTCCCACCATTGCAAATTTTTGGAGTATGGATTTTAAGTTATGATTTGTTTTGCAGAATTGGTCAGTCATATACTTTTTCCACTATTTTCTTTGGCGCAATTAATTATTTTTTTATGTTTTAAACTCAATTTGCAGTTCATAAAAGCATTATTTTCAAACTAGCTACAGCTAGGTTAGATGCAAAATTACTGTGCAATGCATGAACAATTTTCGCCCTCAACTAGTGAAATTATGCAAGGTTGACAACTAAAAATGCACATGCACCTTGGCAGAGTCGGGTTCTATAGCCATACGGTTAGAACTCTACACATGACCCTAAAATCAAAGCCATTGCAGTCTTGGTTTTGGTCTCAGCAGCATCGAGTGATTTTTCTTTTTCTTTTTTTTTTACCTTATTATTATTTTTTTAATACGATTTTGTTTTTTTGATAATTTTAATATCAGTTCTCATGTCAATGAAGAAAAACAACGTCTAGTTTCTTTTTTTCTGCTATCCCATTTCAACATGTTTTCACAAAGGATTTTTTTGTCTGGCACTTTGGTCACTTTCCGTGCTAGGATCTTCTTCAAACTTTATCCAAGCAAAGACCATTATCAAAGATGTGCATATTAAAATATGTTATTCTACATATTTTGAATATCAATAAACAGGTAATTGAACTTGTATGTCTTAAACACAATTTTCATTTTCTGAAGCATTTTAAACTAGCTGCAGCTAGGTAAAATGCATACCACCGTGAAATGCACAACTTTCGCAATCAACTCAAACATTATGCAAGGCCGATGAACTAAAAATACAGACCCTGGCATGGCTGAGTTCTACGGTGCAATTGTTACGAGCTCTGCACATCACCCTTGCTTCTACCATTGCAGCCCCAGTTCAAGATTCACTGTCGTCAAGTTGGTTTCATAATTTTCATTAGAATTTTTTTTTTTTTTTTTCATATAATTTTCACTTTTTTAATGATTTTTTTCATAATTTCAACATCAGTTCTCATTACCGGTGTGCCAATGAGAAGAAGCCCTGTGTTCTGTTTTACAAACTGATAGTATTAAAGTCTAGCAAAAGATTACTAAGCCGGTCCTGGATCTCAACAAGGCCTATCCTAACTTCTTAAATTCTGAAATATAAATTCCCACTTCCTTCCTTTAAATCGAGGTATGTTGTTATCTGCATCTCACAGACCTTATTGTGGTTATTTTTTTGGCCAATGTTGGAATATTCTCTCCACTACAAATCCTTGTTATTTCTAGTTTTACAGTGTCAATGGTTAAATACAAATAATTATCCCACTTTGGGGTGATACACTTGAAACTTTACTCTGTCCAGAAAAATTTTTCAAATTTTCTTTGACAAAAAAATGTTGTATTCTCATATATAGTCATGATGCACCTATATATGATCATATAATATCATCATGACCATACTCAGGCTTGTCCTATATTTTTTTTTACATATAGGAGAGGGATTAACGTATAAATTTGTTGGCCTCTTTCCTGGATGTTCTGAGAATAGGTGACATTACTTTCAATCTAGGTGGGGCTTTCCCTTATATTTTATTCGTCTTAATATTCGAATACAGAAACTTAAAATTTTCATAATTTGTCTTAAATTACATTACATTTACAAATTTGTTAAATCTCGATATTTCATTTCAACATTCTAAAGTTTAGAATAGTTGTTTACAAAAATGATTAGGGCATAACTTTTCACTTATTACCCTAAGTAAATAAACATGAAATAAATAATTATTTGAATGATTTAAGTATCCTGCTATTTTAAAATTTCTGTACCATAAGTATTATAACTTTTCAAAACAAATCAGTTTAGGTACTTTTGCAGTTTACCATATACAGTAAGTTTGTTTTTCTTGTGAATAAAAGGCAACAATTTAATACATCAAATGACGCAAAACTTACTCTTCCCAAAGGACGATGTTAATTTTTCAGGAAAAGAAAAATATTTTATTTAATTACAAACAAATTTTTATTTAATCACAAAATGTCATTATATTATTATTTATTTAAATTAATCTTCCAAAAAGTGTTTCTACTTTCCTTTGGTATGTTCTATAGTATATTACTGTATAATAATCATTATCAAGTGGTTTGCATGATACCAAGAGAATGTAGGACAAAAACCACCTAGGACAATAACCACCCAGACGAAAACCACCCAAAATGGAATATACCATTGTTAAAGTGGGGTGGGTAGAAGGGTGCACAATGTTGGATGGGCTTGTTTTTAATCTACTTTAAAGTAGGCAAGTTTATTTTCTACATTTCAATTTCCATGTTCATACCAAGACTGGCAGGATTTGCAGGATGTTTGCGGGGTTTGTAGGAGGCTTGTAGGGTTTAGCAATACCCTAAACGAAAGAATATAAATGACAAATTGTGTTGGAAGCTAAAGATACTTTTTAAGTACTGTTTATGAACACATACTACATAACAATTCCATCATTTCCAATAGTTCTGGGAAATTTTGAATAATTTTAAAATTTTCCCACATTTTCCTTTAGGAATAAATTTGGCATTGAGTAGTTCGATAATGCTTATAATAAAACAGTTTATGGTTGCAGTTTAGAGACAATTCTCACGTCTACAAAACAATCTAGTTATGTAATTCACATTACGAAAAAATCACAGACTCAATGCTAATCTCTCCTTGGTTGAAAAATATTGGGAATTTTTCAAGAAACCAACAATTTGGCGTCTATTGAGCTCCAAATCTAACAATACTTAACGATTTGCGGAGATTATCGGTGCCAGAATCAAAATACTTCATTTCCTTCTAACTGTCAAGACCATTGGGAGGTGAAAGGTCGGTAGTACCAGATGTTGTCTGGGGTCCGTGGAGACTGGGGTCTTATTTATTGACACATATAAAATTATGACATATTTGTAATTGAGAATAATCGTCTTATGGGCAATGTTCTCTTTTACTTATTCCATATTCCCTATTGTATTTAACATACTTTTATTACTTTGTCTAATTTTTTTTTTATTTTTTTTTTTCTGTAAAGAACTACATTTATATAAGCGGATTACTTTCACCAATAAGATTGTTGATGTTCTTTTTTAAAATGTTTATCTTTTGTTTATCTTTATAAACAATTATTCTGGGTGCTCTGTAAACTGGTGTACTATGGCAGTATTTTTTAGCTTTTTCAGTTTGTTTGTTTTTTAAAGTATTGATCAAGGTTGTACAAAATTCATTACTTTTTATTTCCATTATTATTTGTCTTTCTTGATCCACAAGTCTGATTAACTGTGTCTGATGAGCGATAACCTCAATCAAGCCCAGTCCAAACTATCAAATTTTATTTGACAAAAACGTTTCACATGCCTTAAAATATGGCCATGATGACATCATATCATGACTATATATAGACATATCATGACTATATATGGGCATATAACAGTTTTCTGTCAATAAGTTTATGTGGCATATTTACATAGGCAATTCAACTTTATATTTAAATTTCACGTTTTCTTTTAATTATTTTTTAAATTTTTGGTGGTAGCATATCATTAACCTTTACCCTTTTTACGAAGCAATAGTAAGATTATGACAAGTTCACTGGGAAACTGAACAGGTATTTAACTAATCGTTCATTTCAAGCAAGTCTTTATTTGTCCACAATAATTTTCATTCAAAATTTAAATCTGTAAATATTATTAATGATTTGTAAACATAGTAGAAATAAAGTACTTACAGCAAATTTACATTCGTTGGCAATACAGTGATAGTGTTCTTTGTACTGGTAGACGCAGTAAGGCATCTTGCAATGAGTAGTGGCTGAGTACCTACAAGTGTGAGATAAGAACGATAATACGAGATTTGAGATTGTGTTGTTATTCATGTGATTTTATTATGTTTTATGCATACAATCCCCTCTAGGAGATCACTAACTGAGAGGTTACCCAGTATACAAAGAACAAATAAATAAAAGATAGGATGATACTATGTGATATTTGGAGAAACATTGCAAATGTGAGATTAATTGTTGAAAACTTAAAAATGCAAGATAGGATAAAAAATGTCAATAGCAAATGTGGGATATGAGATTCATATTGCAAAGAATATAATAAGGTATAATTTGGGATTCATATGAAAGATAAAAAAAATAATTATGTGAGATTTCAGATTTAAATGAGAGAGACTGTACAGAATATAATGAGAATAAAGATTCGGAGATAAATAACATTAATGAGTTATTCGAGATGGAAATGAACTATAAAAGATATATTTATGTTAAAAACAAACAGGTTTTATGAGCTATAATAAAATTAGACTTTTTTTGACCAAGACCCCTGGGCTGAAAGGTCATCATCTTGCCCAGCAAGTTAGTTATCTGGAGGTCATTGGATCGATTCTTACCAGAATCACTTGCAAGACCATTACCTTCTCATGTGCTTGCAAATGCAAGTTTTAATAGTCAAGTTGAATTTTAATAACAAATTGCAAGATATTTTTATACCATGTGAAACAAAAACATGCATCAATACCGAAATTAAGCTCGTTTCATCATCATCTCTCAGTGTCAGTTTTGATATCCAATGTGAACAGTGGTTTAACATTTCAGGTAAACAAGTGTCCAGACTATGAAACATGACATGCCTAAATATGGTCATGATGACAACACATCATGACCATATATGGGCACACCACATCCATATGTTGGCGTACAACAGTTTTAAAAAATTTGTTTAATGCTTACTTTGCTATATACTTCATATACATGTTGGGTTCACCATCGCTTGTATCAAGATTAGATATCACATCACTCGTTGATTTTGACGCATCATCGCCACTCTCATCCATTGAGCCATTGCCGTCGAACTGCGCAGCGTAGCTTGGTGCACTATCTTTACTCAACTCCAACTCGTGCTGCTTTACCCTGTGCCGTTCAGAGGCCATACTTAAATCTTGCGGTAAAGATGAGTCTTGGTTTGCCGCCTCCGGCCGTTGATGTTGAAACGTGGACGCGTCTATACCTTGCGCTTTAAGTATATTCTGAACAAGTGCCTCATACTGCGGGCCTCGCATAGATCTCGCATGCTCCGAGAGATCAATTGTCTGCATTTCACCGTTCGCATTAGCGTTATCACCGTTGGATGGTAGGTTGGCTTTCTGGTGAAGCTGATGGTTGAGTAGGTCGCGGACTTTTTGAGAGGAGCCACCATTCTTGCGATTTATAATCTGGGTTATAGACTGTCCTTCCTGTAGTCGCTTGATGTAACTGTCATATTTTGAAATCCGCAGATTTGGTACATCTTTGGATATTGCTTCTCCTGCAATAAAAAAAAATTAACAGTTTAAATGATTAATTTTAGTTATTCTTGGTTTTATATGGAATTATATATACCATAATCCCTTGTGTATAAATCCACCTTAAGTATAAGCCTATTCCGTACTGGTACAGGCATTTATAATGCCCATGCCAAGTTTCACTGCTCTGGGAAAAACTCTAGACAGCGTGTACTGCAGCATTAAACGCCCATGGAAATCACAAGTGCCACAAAATTATTGTCTAAACAATTGACAACAAAAGCACAACACAAACAACAGACACACAATCAGTAAAATAACAATCCCTACGTTATGTCCAATTCCACGTATCAATTTTCCTAGGGAAAAAATATTTGTATTATAATTATTTCTATGTTTATTGATATTTACAAATGTTTACTATTTTGTTATTGTTGCTTGAGAACACTATTTTTTGTCCCAAAGGTGTCCCCTTAATATGGGTTTGATTGTATAAAACAAGTTAAAACCTATTGTAGTGAAAATTTAATAAGGAAAATAAAATATAAAATTCTCTATGTCTATAAATGCCATGTCTGTTTTTGTTCTTCATATTTTACCAACCTGCAAAACAATAATACAACAAACAGAATTCACTTCAAGGAAACAAATTGAAAAGGATTAAAGTCTGTGAATTACATACCAATTTAAAGACAGAAGGTAAAGTATAATTTTTTTTTTAACTGATATTAACAATCATAAGACCATAAAAGTTAAGTACTATGCCAGTCTTCATGGAAAAAATAAAAAAAGGATTAAATTCTGTCTATTATTCAAGTTAAGATACCAGCTTTTATCATATTTTCTTGCCTTCTGATCATGAACTAAGGGCATGATTTATAAGTGATATTAATCACAATTGACTTAAAATTCATTTTCCTGTTTATAGACACTCTTTTTTTCTTTTGATTTTCTTTGTTTTTCCGTATATTTTCTCAAGCACTTTGAGCATTCCCATAAAATGGATATGAGCATTCTACAAATCTTATTTACTGTATCTTATTATTATTATCTTATGCCACTTACTATTCTGGCAAACTTAACTAGACCCCGACAGGGACCACAGTTCCTACTTCTTTTTTTAATTATTATTAATAACAAGAGATTATACACTGGTTTCTATTAAATTTATCTTTAATATTTAGAATGTTAGGGGAGGGAGGAAAGAGGTGCTGTATGTATGTAAAAAATCATAAGGCAAGACATTAAAAAAAAAAATAAAATAAAAATAAAATTTTGTTTTCTCATTTAGCAAATAGTTTTGCCAAAAACATCTAGATGGAAGAGAAAATAAAAATAAATAAAAACAGTGTAGTAATGGTTGATTGCTTTAAATATATACAGTATAATTAGGAAGAAATACATCTTATATTTAGAGTTTTTTGGAATTTCCAATTTTTTTGTGGCAGCGGGTTCGCTACTATAATTGGCCAAAAATTAAATTTTATTTTGCATGGTTTGCCTGTTTACAAACTATGATGGCGTTTACATAATACAGACACACATACACAAAAACAATCGCAAAGGTTCCTATTTAGCTTAGTAAGCACCAATAATGTTTCTTATTTTATTATTGTTACTATTTACTATAGAGAGTAAAAGAATAAGGAACTTTCTAGTGAGAAAAAAAATATTATACAAAATTTGAACTTTGGCCTTGGAAGGCAATCACCATTTTACAATTATTGTTATTTATAATACTAACTGCGTGCTAAGTAAATTATGCCGATCTTGTACTTCATCAATAAAAATCTATTGTTTATACATACAATATAAATATGTTTACATTATACAATCAAATGCACTTTGGATACTGTAGTCAAAGGCAGTTTTTATTTTAGGTCAAAAGTAATGTTTTGAATTGAATAGAATGAGGGATGGAACATGGAGTGGAGTTGAATAGCTTGGTGCTTGCCTTCCAATCCCAAGGTCCTGGGTTCAATTCCTATCAGTGTTGCAGGATTATTTTTGACTACTCCATTCCCTATAGCCTCATATTGAGATTTAGTTTGTGTAAAGGTGTGTATGTTTGGCTTGTGAAACGGATTGTCACTTACTCGTAAAAGTGATATATTTGCTAATTGACAATCCATGATGCATGTGTGTGTGAGTGCACCTAGTTAAATAAAAATAAATAAATGGATTTAATTTTTTTTTTGTGTTGTCTCTGGTAATGTACCACTGTATCAATGAATTTCTTAGCTTGGTTCACGAATCACACTGAACTTTGGAAAAGTGATGTTCAATATCATGATGTTCGATGTGAGCCTACACAAGATAACATCGAGTATCTTGCCAGAATCACGATAGGATATCAGGATCTTGGTCTAATATCATGATACACACAACAATGTGGGGGATTTACTTATTAATTTTCTCAAGGCGTTCTTTTGCTGTAAAAGTTAGGTAGGCTAGAAATCGTGAACAGTTCTAGTTGTTAGTGTTAAGATTAATTTATATTTTCAAGGTTTAATAATTTTTTTTTTATTTCGATAGAATCTTGTACAGTATATGATGTGGTTAATAATTGTCCACTGTTTCTGAAAATGTGTTGTCTCACAAGGTCACAACTTTTGGCCAGTGGTGGCACCAGTGGGACAGCGGTGTTAAGCCTCACACTGGACAAGTCAAGTCCCCCACCAGCCCAAGCTTGTCGGACAGTCGGACCTAAAATAGTTTTAAAATAGGCTTACACCAAGCCATGACTTTCAAAGTCGTAGAGTGCCATTTCCGGTCATCAAGAGGTCACTATTAAAAAAAAAAATCTTATCTCCCAAACCCCCCCCCCCTGCATACCTGTCTCTTATACACATCTAGATGTGTATAAGAGACAGCA